GAAGCTGCAAGAAGATTTTCAGCATCCCCTCTTCTGCCCTCATCCACCATCTTTCCTGTGCTGCGGTCTGCAGGCCCCCTCATGCTAATGCTGGCTGTAGCTTCACCCCTGTTTAAAGTCCAAATGATTGGTGTTTCTGGGGGGAGGTACAGTCAGCACAGTGCCTCACCCCCTCTACGTCACACGGCAGATAAACATACAATGCAGCAGATCTGTCACACGGGGCGGCAGATAAACACGCAATGTAGCAGACACGTCACACAGGGGTACAGATACGTCACACAGGGGTACAGATACGTCACACAGGGCAGCAGATACGTCACACAGGGGTACAGATACGTCACACACGGGTCACACGGGTGCAGATACATCACACAGGGGTACAGATACGTCACACAGGGCAGCAGATACGTCACACAGGGGTACAGATACGTCACACAGGGGTACAGATACGTCACACAGGGCTGCAGATACGTCACACAGGGGTACAGATACGTCACACAGGGGTACAGATACGTCACACAGGGGTGCAGATACATCACACAGGGGTACAGATACGTCACACAGGGGTACAGATACGTCACACAGGGCAGCAGATACGTCACACAGGGGTACAGATACGTCACACAGGGGTACAGATATGTCACACAGGGGTACAGATACGTCACACAGGGGTACAGATACGTCACACAGGGCAGCAGATACGTCACACAGGGGTACAGATACGTCACACAGGGGTGCAGATACATCACACAGGGGTACAGATACGTCACACAGGGGTACAGATACGTCACACAGGGCAGCAGATACATCACACAGGGGTACAGATACGTCACACAGGAGTGCAGATACGTCACACAGGGGTGCAGATACGTCACACAGGGGTACAGATACGTCACACAGGAGTGCAGATACATCACACAGGGGTACAGATACGTCACACAGGGGTACAGATACGTCACACAGGGGTACAGATACGTCACACGGGGGTACAGATACGTCACACGGGGGTACAGATACGTCACACGGGGGTACAGATACGTCACACGGGTGCAGATACATCACACAGGGGTACAGATTCGTCACACAGGGGTACAGATACGTCACACAGGGCAGCAGATACGTCACACAGGGGTGCAGATACATCACACAGGGGTACAGATACGTCACACAGGGGTACAGATACGTCACACAGGGGTACAGATACGTCACACAGGGGTACAGATACGTCACACAGGGCAGCAGATACGTCACACAGGGGTACAGATACGTCACACAGGAGTGCAGATACGTCACACAGGGGTACAGATACGTCACACAGGAGTGCAGATACGTCACACAGGAGTGCAGATACATCACACAGGGGTACAGATACGTCACACAGGGGTACAGATACGTCACACAGGGGTACAGATACGTCACACAGGGCACACAGGGCAGATACGTCACACAGGGCAGCAGATACGTCACACAGGGGTACAGATACGTCACACAGGGGTACAGATATGTCACACAGGGGTACAGATACGTCACACAGGGGTACAGATACGTCACACAGGGGTGCAGATACGTCACACAGGGGTACAGATATGTCACACTGGGCGGCAGATACGTCACACAGAGCAGCAGATACGTCACACAGGGGTACAGATACGTCACACAGGGGTACAGATACGTCACACAGGGGTACAGATACGTCACACAGGGGTACAGATACGTCACACTGGGGGTACAGATACGTCACACAGGGGTACAGATACGTCACACAGGGGTACAGATACGTCACACAGGGGTACAGATACATCACACAGAGCGGCAGATACGTCACACAGAGCAGCAGATACGTCACACAGGGGTACAGATACGTCACACAGGGGTACAGATACGTCACACAGGGGTACAGATACGTCACACAGGGCGGCAGATACGTCACACAGGGGTACAGATACGTCACACAGGGCGGCAGATACGGCACACGGCACACAGCAGACACATAACGCCGAGCGGCAGATAGGTCACACGGAGCGGCAGACACATCACACGTTTCTGCCACCAAATCAGCCCTGACCCACCAAGGTATGGACACCACTAGACCTCTGTAGGCACGCTGTGGTATCTGGCACTAAGCCGTCAGTAGCAGATCCTTTAACTCCTGTAAGTTGTGAGGTTGGACCTCCATGGATTGGACCTGTTTGTCCAGCACATCCCGCAGATGGTCCATTGGATTGAGATCTGGAGAATTCAACACCTTGAACTCATTGTTGGCTTCTCCAAACCATTCTTGAATGTATCCAGTTCCAATTCATCCAGTCCTGATGCTCACGTGCCCATTGTAGGCTCTTCTGGCTGTGGTCACGGGTCAGCATGAGCACCCTGACCGGTCTGCAGCTACACAGCCCCATACCCAACAAACTGTGATGCTCTGTGTGTTCTGACACCTTTCTATCAGAACCAGCATTCACTTTTAAAGCTTTTTGAGTCTAGTAGCTTTTCTATTGGATCAGACTACACGGGCCAGTCTTCCCTCCCCACCTCCATCAATGAGCCTTCCCTCCCCACCTCCATCAATGTGCCTTCCCTCCCCACCTCCATCAGTGAGGCTTCCCTCCCCACCTCCATCAATGGGCCTTCCCTCCCCACCTCCATCAATGTGCTTTCCCTCCCCACCTCCATCAATGTGCCTTCCTTCCCCACCTCCATCAATGAGCCTTCCCTCCCCACCTCCATCAAAGTGCCTTCCCTTCACACCACCATCAATGGGCCTTCCCTCCCCACCTCCTTCAATGAGCCTTCCCTCCCCACCTCCTTCAATGAGCCTTCCCTTCCCACCTCCATCAATGAGCCTTCCCTCCCCACCTCCATCAATGAGCCTTCCCTCCTCACCTCCATCAATGTGCCTTCCCTCCCCACCTCCATCAATCAGCCTTCCCTCCCCACCTCCATCAATGAGCCTTCCCTCCCCACCTCCATCAATGTGCCTTCCCTCCCCACCTCCATCAATGAGCCTTCCCTCCCCACCTATGTCTGAATGGCGTATGTTCTTCCATTTTACATACATGTTCCTCTTCAGAATGATGGGTGTGAAATTCTTTTTGTTCGAACATTTGTTTTAGGCTGAGTGTAAAACTCTGATATTTAGTATAACTACAGAGCAATCTTTATCAGCGCCTCCAGAGCTTTGACCTTTCATGGTGGTGTGATTGGTCTGTACAGGATACACATGTTTTCTCCTGGATGCGTCCAGCTGCCATTGTTTGCCCAGGAAGCAGCCATTAGGCCAGGTCAGGTGCAGCTCCGCCATTATCTAGTATCCCTGACTGATTTACGGTGGCTCTTGTCTTTTATTAAGGCCTCTCTCACATCAAACAGGCTGCGGGGCCATAAATGTGAGTTGATGAAGTCTCCTAATCTGTGCAGCCAGGAACTGCCGGCACTAAATGACTTTACAAGACGAGGAAACACCTGCACCAGGCCTGATAACTGCCAGACCCACACCGGAAACAGGCCTGGCACAGCCGGGATGGGCACACATGACGTCCTCTTCTACTTCAGCGGATTGGGACGTATTATTCCTTTCTTTCTGTTCCTAGACTATGGGGATCAGATGCCGTCTGTCCACTATGGCTTCATACAACCCCCAGGCTGTTGTTGGCATCTTGCTGGGATGGTGAGCTGTCCACCATGGCTTCACACAACCCCCAGGCTGTCGTTGGCATCTCGCTGGGTTGGTGAGCTGTCCACCATGGCTTCACACAACCCCCAGGCTGTTGTTGGCATCTTGCTGGGATGGTGAGCTGTCCACCATGGCTTCACACAACCCCCAGGCTGTCGTTGGCATCTCGCTGGGTTGGTGAGCTGTCCACCATGGCTTCATACAACCCCCAGGCTGTTGTTGGCATCTCGCTGGGTTGGTGAGCTGTCCACCATGGCTTCATACAACCCCCAGGCTGTTGTTGGCATCTCGCTGGGTTGGTGAGCTGTCCACCATGGCTTCATACAACCCCCAGGCTGTTGTTGGCATCTCGCTGGGATGGTGAGCTGTCCACCATGGCTTCATACAACCCCAGGCTGTTGTTGGCATCTCGCTGGGATGGTGAGCTGTCCACCATGGCTTCATACAACCCTTCAGTCAGGTGTACCGGCTCCTCTCCTTCAGTCTGGTGTACCGGCTCCTCTCCTTCAGTCCGGTGTACCGGCTCCTCCCCTTCAGTCCGGTGTACCGGCTCCTCTCCTTCAGTCTGGTGTACCGGCTCCTCTCCTTCAGTCCGGTGTACCGGCTCCTCTCCTTCAGTCAGGTGTACCGGCTCCTTTCCTTCAGTCAGGTGTACCGGCTCCTCTCCTTCAGTCCGGTGTACCGGCTCCTCTCCTTCAGTCCGGTGTAGCGGCTCCTCCCCTTCAGTCCGGTGTACCTGCTCCTCCCCTTCAGTCCGGTGTACCTGCTCCTCCCCTTCAGTCCGGTGTACCGGCTCCTCCCCTTCAGTCCGGTGTACCGGCTCCTCTCCTTCAGTTAGGTGTAGCGGCTCCTCCCCTTCAGTCCGGTGTACCGGCTCCTCTCCTTCAGTTAGGTGTAGCGGCTCCTCCCCTTCAGTCCGGTGTACCTGCTCCTCCCCTTCAGTCCGGTGTACCGGCTCATCTCCTTCAGTTAGGTGTAGCGCCTCCTCTCCTTCAGTCAGGTGTACCGGCTCCTCTCCTTCAGTCAGGTGTACCGGCTCCTCTCCTTCAGTCAGGTGTACCGGCTCCTCTCCTTCAGTCAGCTGTACCGGCTCCTCCCCTTCAGTCAGGTGTACCGGCTCCTCCCCTTGAGTCAGGTGTACCGGCTCCTCTCCTTCAGTCAGGTGTACCGGCTCCTCTCCTTCAGTCAGGTGTACCGGCTTCTCTCCTTCAGTCAGGTGTACCGGCTCCTCCCCTTGAGTCAGCTGTACCGGCTCCTCCCCTTCAGTCAGGTGTACCGGCTCCTCCCCTTGAGTCAGGTGTACCGGCTCCTCTCCTTCAGTCAGGTGTACCGGCTCCTCCCCTTCAGTCAGGTGTACCGGCTCCTCCCCTTCAGTCAGGTGTACCGGCTCCTCTCCTTCAGTCCGGTGTACCGGCTCCTCCCCTGGACTGGAATGGCTTCCTCGGATGTCACTGCACACTGGGAGCGTCTCATTATGTGCATTAGAAGCTGCAGCTCCATCTCATTTCCTGCTGGAGGACGCCCAACATCATCTAGAGCTTTCCTCCCCTGCCTGCCATCCCTGGCCCCGCCCATTTCATTTATTAGAGCCCGCCTTATTTCCTGGATGGGGGACATTCCAGCATCATCCAGCCTTTTCCTTCCCAGTCTGACTGTCCCTGGCCCCACCCCTTTCATTCATTGGATGTCAAGTCTGTCCATCATGGAGGCTCAGCATCCCATATGGGCGTTACCTATGCCAATACAGCCTGCCTAGGAACACCCACTCCTCTCAAGTGTACTCCTGTGTTGTCACCCTGGTGATCCTGCTATAAAGGTCCCTGTTCAGGCATTCCTGTTATAGGGTGACAACGCTCTGTCCCCATCTCCCAAGTGTACTCCTGTGTTGTCACCCTGGTGATCCTGCTATAAAGGTCCCTGTTCAGGCACTTCCTGTTATAGGGTGACAACGCTCTGTCCCCGTCTCCCAAGTGTACTCCTGTGTTGTCATCCTGGTGATCCTGCTATAAAGGTCCCTGTTCATGCACTTCCTGTTATAGGGTGACAACGCTCTGTCTCCGTCTCCCATTTGTACTCCTGTGTTGTCACCCCGGTGATCCTGCTATAAAAGTCCCTGTTCAGGCACTTCCTGTTATAGGATGACAACGCTCTGTCTCCGTCTCCCATTTGTACTCCTGTGTTGTCACCCCGGTGATCCTGCTATAAAAGTCCCTGTTCAGGCACTTCCTGTTATAGGATGACAACGCTCTGTCTCCGTCTCCCATTTGTACTCCTGTGTTGTCACCCTGGTGATCCTGCTATAAAGGTCCCTGTTCATGCACTTCCTGTTATAGGGTGACAACGCTCTGTCTCCGTCTCCCATTTGTACTCCTGTGTTGTCACCCCGGTGATCCTGCTATAAAAGTCCCTGTTCAGGCACTTCCTGTTATAGGATGACAACGCTCTGTCTCCGTCTCCCATTTGTACTCCTGTGTTGTCACCCCGGTGATCCTGCTATAAAAGTCCCTGTTCAGGCACTCCCTGTTATAGGGTGACAACGCTCTGTCCCCGTCTCCCATTTGTACTCCTGTGTTGTCACCCCGGTGATCCTGCTATAAAAGTCCCTGTTCAGGCACTTCCTGTTATAGGGTGACAACGCTCTGTCCCCGTCTCCCAAGTGTACTCCTGTGTTGTCACCCTGGTGATCCTGCTATAAAGGTCCCTGTTCAGGCACTCCCTGTTATAGGGTGACAACGCTCTGTCCCCGTCTCCCAAGTGTGCACTGAGATTGAATGATCCAGGGCTGGAGGGATGAGTCTTCCTGCGCTGTATTAGTGGGGGGTCAGATGAGGGGCCCCAGTGGGGCCACACTACAGAGGGTGACTGAGGGTAGCAGAGAGCTGTAACATGCAGTGATGTTTTCCTCTTCTCCCTGACATTGGCAGGTGCACCATCTTCAGAAGCAGCTGGAAGAGGAGAAGGACGGGGCCCAAAAGAAAATCTCCAAACTCCGTGAACTCCTACGGTGAGTGCTGTGACAGTGGCACGGGTTCCTGATGTTCTGACCACAAGGGGGCGCTATTCCATTGCATTCTAACTCCTCCGTCCCGTGGCAGGGGCCCCGCAGATCAGATGGGGGCCAGGGCCTGACCATTCAGAACAACAATTTACAGTGGATAAGGGCCCCATCAGCATGAATATGTAAATAGGCTCAGTGTAGACTTAGTGACTGATAGAGGAAGGAAATCAGGAAATCATTTTTGTGACCCTCAGCGGGTTCAAGAGCTTGCAATCTAAAATCAGAATTATAAGGCTTAAAGTGGGATTTTCTGTAAAAACAATAAACATGGGAGAGCAGGCAGGACTTGTAATCAGAGGAGAGATGGTGTGTCTCTTCTTCATTGAAGTCACTTACCTGCCCCCCCCCCCCTGTACAGCCGTGCAATGCCAGAGGTGAGTGAACTCCCGCACATGTGTGGGAGTGACATCATATCGGCCCGGCCAATGAAAGGGGCTGGTGATCCATACCTGAAAGTCGGCCTCTCATAGGTGTCAGCGGGAGCTCCACACTGGACTGAAGGTGAGCGGAGTTCCGCTTTAAGTACGGGAAGCTTATTGGGTGACGTATTTATTTCCGTCTTTTGTTTTCTTCTTTTTAACATTCAAAAGATTATTTCTCAATAGTCACCCAATGTTTACTATCCAGCAATTGTTGTTGTTGTTGTTGTTATTATTGTTGTTGTTGTTTTTCACCACTTGACCCCTGGAAGGTTTTACCCCCTTCATGAACAGGCCATTGCTACGCTACTTTAACTGGCAATTGCACGGTCATGCAACCCTGTACATGGAATTTATATCATTTCTTTCACACAAATACAGCTTTCTTTTGGTGGTATTTGATCACCGCTGGTTTTTGTTTTTTGTTTGTTTTTTTATTATTATTATATAAACAAAAAAAGAACAAAAATTGTGAAACTAATCCAATATTCTATTTTGTTATAAAACATATCCAATAAAATCTAATTTCTTCATAAATTTAGGCCAACATGTATTGTGCTACGTGTCTTTGGTAAAACAATCCCAATAATTGTATATTGATTGGTTTGTGTGACTCTGACTTCAGAACATCAGGTTAGTTCCAGGCACCAGTGTGAACGGAGCCAGAAAGTCCATTCAGAAGGACTCTGACTCCAGAACATCAGGTTAGTTCCAGGCACCAGTGTGAACGGAGCCAGAAAGTCCATTTAGAAGGACTCTGACTCCAGAACATCAGGTTAGTTCCAGGCACAAGTGTGAACGGAGCCAGAAAGTCCATTCAGAAGGACTCTGACTCCAGAACATCAGGTTAGTTCCAGGCACAAGTGTGAATGGAGCCTGAAAGTCCATTTAGAAGGACTCTGACTCCAGAACATCAGGTTAGTTCCAGGCACAAGTGTGAACGGAGCCAGAAAGTCCATTTAGAAGGACTCTGACTCCAGAACATCAGGTTAGTTCCAGGCACCAGTGTGAAAGGAGCCTGAAAGTCCATTCAGAAGGACTCTGACTCCAGAACATCAGGTTAGTTCCAGGCACCAGTGTGAACGGAGCCAGAAAGTCCATTCAGAAGGACTCTGACTCCAGAACATCAGGTTAGTTCCAGGCACAAGTGTGAACGGAGCCTGAAAGTCCATTCAGAAGGACTCTGACTCCAGAACATCAGGTTAGTTCCAGGCACAAGTGTGAACGGAGCCTGAAAGTCCATTCAGAAGGACTGTGACTCCAGAACATCAGGTTAGTTCCAGGCACCAGTGTGAACGGAGCCAGAAAGTCCATTCAGAAGGACTGTGACTCCAGAACATCAGGTTAATTCCAGGCACAAGTGTGAACGGAGCCAGAAAGTCCATTCAGAAGGACTGTGACTCCAGAACATCAGGTTAGTTCCAGGCACAAGTGTGAACGGAGCCTGAAAGTCCATTCAGAAGGACTCTGACTCCAGAACATCAGGTTAGTTCCAGGCACAAGTGTGAACGGAGCCAGAAAGTCCATTCAGAAGGACTCTGACTCCAGAACATCAGGTTAGTTCCAGGCACAAGTGTGAACGGAGCCAGAAAGTCCATTCAGAAGGACTGTGACTCCAGAACATCAGGTTAGTTCCAGGCTGGAGATGATGGTGAGGTTCTAGGAGGTGTCCTCAGAGGAAAGCAGGAATGAGGCTTCCAGGATAAGATGATTCTACAAGAGATAACATCCATGAGCATAAAGCTGGCCATATCTAGGTTGAATGGGAAGAGAAGGGACCCAATTCCCTCGCCCACACATTGGAGGTGGATGGAGGAATCCTCCCCGCTCTGCTATTGTCTTCTGACATGGGGAAGACTACGTGAAGTGTGAATCACTATGGCGGGCATTGTCATGTCATTACATGTGGGAGGGGCATTATCCCAGCCCCATACAGATTCTACTTTGTACAGGGTGCCGGAAGATGTTGGTGCCATAGATATCAGCAGTGGATAGTTCAATGATATGGGCCGTCTGGCCTCAGGTTGGAAGGACTGGGCGGTTGTCCTCAGGCTATCACAGACCAGGCGTGATCCTAGAATGAGCCCTCTAGTATTAGCCTGAGACGGAAGCCTTGCCAGCTCTTCGCTCCCCGCCAGTTCAACATGGCCGCCGTCTAGCGGGGGCACTCCTCCTTGTTGGCCCTCTAATTGTTCCTGACACAAGCAGGCTGTGTTAATATGTGGGCCGGGGGTCCGCCAGAGGCCGTGCTGGAGAACTCTGCTGGAACGGCTGGTGTTATGACCTTCCCCATTTCCATTGAAAAACAGATCAGTTAACGTTCTTACTGGCACCCCCGGCTGAAAAGGCTCTTTTGTTGGAGGGAATTTACACCACGTCTCCCCTTCCATCGCCTGGCTCCCTTTCATTTCTCTGTTTAATCTTTTCTCCCCGCTTCGTCTGGCTTCATCCTCAAACACATTCTGTGATAAATATTCTGGAATTGTTCACAGTGGGACCATCGGCTCCATCAGAGGCCTTCTGTGTTATTGGAGATCTAACGTCTGTGCATATATACGGAGCCGCCTTCTGTGCTCCTCGGCCATGTCTTCCTATCATCCAGCACCCCTCATCCTTTCTGTGTACATGGGGTTCCACACACAGGCGGGCCTCCGGCCAGACCTTAGGACTCCCTATGGCCAACTGTGAAATTCTGACCAAGGATGATTATGAGGACCAATCATTATCAAATGGAAGCTGCAGGCCAGCAGACTGACCCTGGAAACTATGAGGATGGTTCAGGCTGAAAGGTGAGCCTGGAACTGGACAGGATTTCTTCCTCACCCATTACTCACAGTAGAAGGGCAGCTCAGGTGTTCAAGCTGAAGGAAACCCATGCAAGCACAGGGAGTACATGCAAACTCCATGCAGGGAGCGTCCAGGCTGGGAACCAAACCAAGGCCCCTAGTGCTGCAAGTAGAAGTGCTAATCACTTATCCACTGTCAGCAAATAGACTCCATTCATAACACATCTCTATTCATAATACTTCTCCATTCATAATACTCCATTCATAATACTCCATTCATAATACTACTAACTCATATTTATTACTTCTTTATAATACTCTCTCCATTCCTAATATTAACCCATTTATAATACTTCTCGATTCATAATTCTTATCTATTCCTCATACTACTCCC